TCAATGCTGCCATGCATAAGCAGCAATCTATGATCTTAGTGGATATCCAAACTCCAGGTGTACACATAAAGAGACCACTTACAGTTTTTGGCTTTGATGATGCACCTCATGGGCATGCAGAAGTACTATTTGAGAATGTATGTGTCCCAGCAAAGAATATTCTACTAGGAGAAGGACGTGGGTTTGAGATTGCACAGGTATTGTTCACTGCTTTCTGAGTAACATATTGCAATTTTGATATCCGTTGAGTACTATATTCTCAACCTCACCAAATGATATTTGAAATTTCTAACCTTAAAAATTCAAGCTTTCTGAGGTAAATCAACAATTTGATTTGGCAACTTGCATGATTAAGGACTTTGATCATCTCCAATGTCCTGTTAGAAGCTTGTAGTATGTGTGTATCACCGCAGGCTGGCCTATAACGCAAAATGAAATATCTTCATTTCTGAGATTTCTTTCTGCAAATTAAGAGATGATTCTTATTTTTTTGAGGACTTAATTAGTTTTTTTTACTTGGTCGAAAGGACTTAATTAGTTTGTTGGTGAGCTCTTGTTGGTTTTGTGACTGGACATATCCTAGGTTCACTGTGCAGTTATCCTCAGTTTGCTTTAGTTATTAAAGCAAACTTAATTTCTGCAGGGTAGACTAGGCCCAGGAAGGTTGCACCATTGCATGAGACTGATGGGAGCTGCTGAGCGTGGCATGCAGATAATGGCTCAAAGGGCTCTTAGTAGAAAAGTTTTCGGGAAGTTGATTGCTGAACAGGGCTCATTTCGTTCAGATATTGCGAAGGTATGATAATTTTACACCCTTCAAAAGCATAATTGAGAAACTTATGTTTCTATAAATTTATAAACAGAGACTGATTATGCAACCCAGATGATTAAGAACTCCAGGCTTTCCAGCTGTTCAAATGATTTAAGAAGTGATCTGAGTTGAATCTTCCTTGCATATCTTCAGATTCATCTCTTACTGCAATAATGTTGGACTCTTTTCTAAATCGGCTTTTTGTGTTGCAGTGTCGAATAGAGCTAGAGAAAACCAGATTGTTGGTTCTGGAGGCAGCTGATCAACTTGATAGACTTGGAAACAAAAAGGCCCGAGGAACTTTAGCAATGGCAAAGGTAGCAGCCCCAAACATGGCGCTGATGGTACTTGACATGGCAATGCAAGTGCATGGCGCTGCTGGCTTGTCGTCCGACACTTGTCTGGCTCATCTTTGGGCCACGGCAAGAACACTGAGAATAGCAGATGGTCCAGATGAAGTCCATTTGGGTACTATTGCCAAGTTAGAACTTCAGAGAGCTAAACTCTGAAACTCTCAGGACAAAACTCCCACAAAACAAACGAGATCCTTTTTTCCCCTATAGGCAAATACTGCATCAAAACTTACAGTTGATATATAGGATCAATAATGTTGTGACCAATAATGTTACTTTTTTAAAATTTCTAGGATCAATAATCTCATTGATGTCAAAATAAATTTTATGTATAAGGAAAAACAGTTCAGAGGAGAAGTCTGCAGCCGATCTATTAATGTACCCTCCATGTTTCTCTCTTAGATCTTTATAGAAATATCAATCTCATTTTGTTTTATTTGGAATATTTATCCCACTCATTTCTCTTTACACAGTGATATCCAATGTCGTTATGAACTTAAAGAAATTGGAAGGAAATCAGGAATATCCACTGAATATTATACCGAAATAATCTACAATATTCAGATTTTTTTGGTTGTTGGCATGATACAATATTCAGATGTTACATCAACAAAATTCTCTACAATTATAATTGTAGGTTTTCCGCGACGTTGAGTATGTACTTGTAAATGTCC